GTGGACTTCCGCCTAAAATAGCCGCTGTAGCTTTCAACGAAAGCCGGAGGCTAAAAACACCGTATTTTTCATAATTAAACTTGTTTATAGTGTAGTATAAGAAATTTCAAAGTTAAATTTTCTTAATTAAATGATTTATTTACATGCATAAATTAAGATTTTCATAAAATAATAATTGGTCCAGACAAGCAGATAACTAACAATGCTATTGATATATTACGTACCTATTTAAAAAAATATATAATATGGTAAGAGTTAATTAAGGACCTGTTTCTAGAACACATGGCTTCAAAAGCGAAGGACATTGCATTAAAAGAGCGTAGAGGAAGCACTTTAATTACTTTTAATCGTTACTTATGTTAAACCGAAAGTTTAATTTAGCTTACTGAGCTCTATACCACTTAAAAACTGAAAATTGGATGTACAACTGAGTTTGAAGTACATTGCTGTATTGTTATACTCTTTTTACTGATACATTACAAGTAAGCGTCTATAGATATCTTTAAAAAAGTTGTCGTAGAAAGAACGTTAAATTATGTTATTAATAAATGTCTACGTGGTTTCTTTGCGTGAGCTCTTCATTTCGACATATGGGCATGATGTCAGGTGTTTGTAAGGGCACATGTCAATAAAACTGCTAAAATATATTTAATTTTCTTATAATAAAAAAAGTTTTTATAATATGTACTTAACTTCTCTTCGTACATTAATATTTTGTAATATTTGACTTTTGCCTCAAATAATATATATAGTTAAATATTAGGCATTCTATACAGATAAATAAAATTGAAGTGTTTGTTAACGTAATTTCGAAATAAAAGCTTTTTACTAAATGCATATGAAATTATATACGGTACTTAAAAACACAATTTTTAAAAAAATTATATTTCTGTCTATCTGTTTGTTCCGGCTAATCTCCTAAAATCCTCCATAAAGGCTGAATTGATTGATTTTGATGTGACTTTCACTGCCAGATAGCTGATGTTATAAGCAGTTACTTTTATTTTAGAAAAAGAGTTATGGTTCCACTGAAAAAAATTAAAACGTATGCACCCGAACGAAGCAAAGATAAGTCGCTAATAATTATATGATCCCTAGCGCTAACTGCATTCGAGGCGCTGTTTATTTAATAATTCTAATATCTCCTTAGTGTAAAATATTAATTATATCAAGCATATAGTAAAATAGCTCACGACTTTCATGAATGTACCTATTTTAAATCCTTACTAATATAAGAATAATTATATTTGTTGCCATGTCTCTCCTGCCTAGAGCAACACAAATAGCGTCTCAAGTGCAAAATAATAACATGGGGTGTTTTTATACCTTGTTTTAATTTAAATCAAACTTTTATTAGTTTTTACAATCTAATTATATCTCACGATTTTCATGATGTAAAAAATCTGTGAGGTAAAAATTTATTAAACAAAATAAATCATATGAATATATCTAACCCTAACTATATTCAATATACACGATATATCCTTAGATATATATATCAGGTGATCACAAACCAACCAACTTTACGGTACACATCTACACGGCCTTACATATTTTTGTCAGTACTCGGAAAAGTTGGTTGTGACAGACAGATGGACTGGTAATAGTTTAAGTTGTTAATATAAATATCGTTTACAAACTTAACATGTAACCAATAAATATTATTTCAAACTCTTTAAAAGCGTGTACCGCTTCGCTGTTACATGTATAGTCCATATTTCAGTCCATACTTTCAAACTTCAGCGGACACGTCCAAGATAACCACACTGGCGCGTTGTTATTCAATTGTCGCCATGAACGAATTCATTTCACAAAACTCATCTTGCGGACGGCGGGTGACGACATGACACGGATGTTGATATCTAACTTGAAATTATTATGGAAGAGACAAATTTTATTTCACTAATATAAAACTTATATGTATTATACTTTATGCAATCAGCCATTTGGAATTAAGCTACAATTTAGTTTTAATTAATATTTTTTCGTGTCAAATAATAAGAAAATAGGTAAGTTAGGTTACGTTTTAATCATTATAATTGGAAATTTATTAAGATTGACCTAGTCTTAATATTAGAGGATTTACGTTTCCTTTTTAAATAAGCTTTTGTCACAGTAAACAATTACGCAAAACAATGACACGCAAATAATTTTCATAATGATATAAAATGTGTTAATATACCAATACAAAACTTAAAAATTATTAAAAAATACCATTTCCAGTACCCCTATTTCGTTGGAAGCAACGGCGGCGACGCGTGCCCGGAAGCGTCACGGCCGCGTGAAGACCGGAAATGGGCAGGATGACCGGATCCTATCTCCGCTGCCTACCTGCCGCCATGTTGTGACGTCACTCGCCCCGTGACACTATCGTCAGATTGTGGATATACAATTTGGGAACTATTATAATGCATAGCAACTTTTATTTTGCTTCATCAAATATTGAAGTGGAATTGAAAATATTACCACAAAGTTAATCTGACATAGTAAAATATAAATGCAGCTTTAAACGAGCAGTAGTAAAAATCTTAAATAACATAAATATAAACGATATTACAGCTTACATGCTCTATAAAATTCCACTTACACTTGAGAACCTTTAGTAGAATATTTTCAACATAACGTGCACTAAAAATATTACTTCTACAGAAGGTATTTAAATGCCAGAAATCTAACGGAAGCTTCCAAGCTTTTGAAAAACGCATTCTATAAAATCTTCTAAATCGCGAGTCTTCGCGACTTCGGAGCTGAACATCCACGGTTATCATTGCGAGAGTATATAATTGTTGGCAATTTCATGTCTCTATTCAACCCATGAATGGCAACCATTAGGCGAGCCTCTCAGCGCGCCCTCCTCAGCTAATAAGTGCATTTTGCTTTACAGGACTCCTTAGTGCCATTTTTAAAAACTCGTAGTTTTTTAAAAATGGCCGAGAGACCATTCTACGGAGTTATAATGGGAATTGTTATTTAATTGACGCTATTAAGCAATTTAGTTAAGTAATTAATAAGATGCGACTAACGCTCTCGTTTCTCCGCAAGAGCAAGAGCCCGTAAAAGAAAAATTAAGAAAAAGGGTTACTTTCTCTCAGTTTTAAATCAAATTAAGGTGAAATAAAAAATAACATTTATACAGCCATATTATAACCAATGCGTTTAAAAAAATATATACTTAAAAAATCGTTTGGAAATACATAAGAGTTATATTTATAATGATTTGGTACCCTATAAATAATTTTATGTACAAAACTATAGGTACATATTTAGTAAAGGGTATTATTACAATAAATTGCTATGTTTTATTTATGAATACTAAGTATGTACTTGGAGCGGCAGCTGGTATCCGAATGAGAAACCATGAAGCCGCAAACGGTGGGCGGGAAGCGCACGCAAAAACTGGAGGACAGTATGTTTTAATTGCATACATTACTTACATTTAATATGCAATAATTTTAAATATTATCTTACTTCATATTTTCCGATTTCAAATTTAATGACAGCATAAATTAATATCAGCCTAGATTAAAAATACTTGACATATTCTTTAAATAGAAAATTATAATTTACATAATATCTTATGGGAAAATGAAGCCGCTACGAATAATTCAGCAACGACCGTCAGTTCTGGAGTGTCTTTCACTTAAATATTGCGTGGCAGCATCTATACGCTGTACCTACCCAATTAGCAATTTAATATATATTGTGTGCTGTTATCGCCGTAATTTAAGCCATATTCCCTATTATTTCAATATGTATTGTGCCTGAAAACGGTCCAGAGTAAGTCACGACTCAGTGTCCCGCGGGCGTCCACCTGTCCGTCTGCGAATATGAGGAAATACTTCATTTTTAATAATTTCAAGTCATTACCAACCAAACCGCAACGCGATCGTGTATGGTATACCGAGATTTCGAATTCTTAATTATTATTTTTTTACCAGTCTTGTGTAAATGCTCCTCTATTGATCCAAATATTTGTATCGTATGGTGTAGCTACAGAACATATTACCACTACAGTACAATTATAAGTGCCCTCAATTTTGAAAATCGTATCAGAAAAATAATTAAAACCATCTTGATATTTGCTTAATTAGGATGATATTGAACACCAGACAGTAGAGTCATTTCCTAAACAGTAACTACTGTTTCGGAAATGACTCTACTTTCATCATATCTTTTAAAATTATCCACATACGAGTATCTATCGCATTATTATATCTAGAAATATACCTAATAGATGTATTTATTCACTGGTCGTATTTGATACGCATATTATTAATTACTATTTAGCTTAAATTTATTATCTATTGTGGTGAGTACTTCATCCATTTTGAAGTCGCTCAAAAAGTAATGAATTCGATTACAGATTAGATTTTTTGAAGTGAAACTTCTTTAGAATCGTTGTGATTTGAAACTCGATGCAACGGAAATGCGACAGTAAAAAGAGACAAACATATAAATATATAGGATTAAGCCGGCGATAGAATGAGATAGAATACATTGCGATGATGCCATGGTAACCGTTGTCCCATGACAACCGTTGTTATCTGATAGAATACATTACACAGGAAGTGAAAAATAATAAAATTCATTACTGATTATTATGTAATGTTTATATTTATGTCAAATAAAATGTAAAATAACTTGGTAAAAATAATATAAAAAAATCCTTATGATTATCCTACTCCTGATACTCTATATTCATATCATTTTCTGAAGTTTCACTTCTACGATGTGTGAATTGCACATTTATTTTATTTATTTTTGTTATAATTTTTTTGTTATAACTATGATGTTGTTAGTAGGTAATTACTTACACAGTCATCGCGTTACATTAATTCGTTGATCTTGAAACTGGCCTTTTAACAAAAAAAACACTTTAAATTATTATTTTTATTTTAATCGTCAATATATGTCTCGTTAATTACTTTACCTACATGAAAATGTAGGTAGGTATATGAATTTCAAAACTATATATATTATTTATTTTACAGACTATTTCATACTAAAGTAACACAGTCTGATATGTCAACATTTTCTTGTACACGAGCATGCTCGACCATCTTCTCTTTGTTTTCTAGTTTTACCACCTCGCTTCTTACTAGCACGATGACGTAGCACTGCATTGCTATACGAAAAAATCAGGAGTTTATAAATATTGTTTCTAAAATTTGTTTGTATATATGTAAATGATAATATTATTTGAATTAATAAAAACTTACTTTAAAAATCTTTACACTAACTAGTTAAATAACGTAAATCATACTAATATTTTAAATGCGAATATTTTGTGAGTATGTAAGAGAATGTCTATCTGTTACTCTCTAAAATTCGGAATGCAGATAACAATGACTTTACTATTAACATTTTATCCCAAGAATGTTATGTCTTACAAAAATTAAAAATAGATAACTGATTAATATAATCAAGGAATATTTTGAATAAAGTAGAATATCACGAACTTTTTACTCAGTAGCAGATATTAATTATTATACCTACTATTAATCAAATAAATTAACTGTGCCAAACTATAACTGTGAAATAAGAGACATACACATGGCAAATATTACTAACTATAATATTGCTAAGAAATAATACTTACCTATGATAAATAAGGCTATGATCACTTCTACGAACATTTTTTTAGACATCAAGAAGCATGTCGGCACTGAAGCAGCAAGCGTCGTTGCCACGGCATAATAGTTATACAGCCGTAACATTGTAATGTCTTTCTGAAATAAAATAATTAAAATTAATATATCTAACTTAAGAAGTTATTAATAAGATAAAAGATTGGAATAACGACATCAATCAATTACTGGACAGTCGAAATACCGGAATCCAAACCTTATTTGGTAATATTAAAAACATGGCTTTATCATGTCATGTTTTACATCATAAATCTAGAGACTAACTATGCCCAAAGTATCGTTTTTAGGGTTCCGTATCTGAAGGTTGCCAACGGACCCTATTACTAAGCCTCCGCTGTCCGTCCGTCTGTCTGTCAGAGGGCTGTATCTCATGAACCGTTATAGGTAGAGAGTTGAAATTTTTAACTAATGAATAAACAAGATTAGGCTATGAATGAATTTCATTTCTTTCTGTAATTACCTTAAAATCAAATTTGTCAGAAAAAAACCATATATTTAAAACCAAAACCGATCAAAAACTAATTAAAATACCGATAAATTCAAAAAAATAATGACACAAACAGATTCTACGGAAAAAAAATATAAAAACTGTGGTATACTTTACGTGAATTCCAACTTTTATTATTTTTTCACGACACGTCAAATTGCAAAGTTGGAATGTAAGAAACCGTTCATTTCAAACTATTAGGCAGCTCAGCCTCAGCAATTCTTGCCTCTCTTTTTCCACCTCTTTCCCCTTCATTCTTTCATCTTTTAATTTTATCGATAAATACTAGTCACAATAATGTTATACGGACATTACCCTGTATATGTCCAGTATCCGCGATATAGACAAATAGAAGACTGACAAACTATAGATAGGTACTTGGGCTTTCAAAGATTAATTTACCAATAGGTAATATGTTATAATAGGCGCTGCAAGGACTGAGAGCTCTTTGGGGGTTCCTACATTCGTTCAGCTTCGTTCAATTTCTTATATAGGTACATACCTACCAGTATTTATTTTGTGTTAGGCTTGAATTGCTTCAAGGATAATCGACGCGAATTCGATGTATCTATTGATCTAATTCTGTGTTAATAAATAAACCAAATAAATAGATTGTAAAAGAAAAAGATCACTTTGTAACAAGTACTTATAGGAATCACCTGATAACCAGCAACGAGAAGCAGGAAGTTAAGAATAATTCCCATTCCAAAAATACTGAAGAGGACCGTACAAATCATCACCTCGACCGATGCTTCGCGAACCACTGGCCGCTGCATCTCCGTAGTTATAATCATACATGTTACTGATACTACAGAAAATATCTGGAAAATATAAATAAACTTAAATCTGACTACTATTATAAATGCGAAGCATAGAAAATATATCTGAAATTAAAATATTTTTTTTACATTTATCAATTTTTTAAACAATTTTTAACCGAATCTTTAAGTTCTATTTATTTACATTCTGATAATAAATTTAAATAATGCGGTACTTACAATATTTAGATAGGCAAATAAAATAATGCCCGGGCGTAGCGGCAAGCAAAAACAACATCTGTTAACATCAGGCACTTTCACATGCATCTTTGTGAGTCAAAGTAAACATATTGAAATAACTATTTATGCAGCAAAGAGAGATAAAACAATGACATTACAAATATCATAAAATAACAACATAGTAACTTTGTGATTTCATATGAATTTACCTGCTTTTTTTATTGAATAATATAGATGAAAATAAAAACTAAAATAATACAAAGATAACATGGACCATTGGATAAACCAAAAGTAGAAAACTATCATAACTCAACAAATCAAATTAAGAAATAATAAAAGCTTTCATAATAGTGATTGTGATTATTGTAAAGTAGCTACACAAACTTTAACTTCACATAACATGTTGGAAGCAATAAGAACACGCGGTTTTTGGAAAAAAATAGTTAAAAATAAGAATGTTAAATAATCCAAGAAATAAATTTAAAATTATGCAAGTTTTCAAATTATTGAATATTTCTAACTTAAGTAAGTACCTAAAGTATACGTGTAGTTTTTAAGTAATGATTAATAATTTAATTGATTGTCTTTGTCTATATTTATAACCTTTGCTGTTCATTCACACCGAATTATCGCAATAACAACCCATTATCTAATATAACACTATGCTAATAAAAAAACATCTCTTCATTTTAATTATACTTTTAATAATTATTATGATTGTAGTTAGCCAAAATTCGTAGGTTAAATTTTGGCACGGAACTTGTGTTGGCCAAATAGAATTGAGAACCACCTCCCAATAGTCAATAATTGTCAATATTTATGAAAAACGAAGGAAAGAAATTTTATGTATGTATGTATGTATGTATTCAGCCCTTCTTCACGTCCCACTGCTGAGCATGGGCCTCCCTTCAATATGAGGGGGATCAGGCCATAGTCCACCACGCTGGCCAGGTGCGGGTTGGCAGACTTCACATGTCTTTCGAAAACTTGCTAGGTTCTCTCAGACATGCAGGTTTCCTCATGATGTTTTCCTTCACCGTAAGGCAAGTGGTAATCATGTTGAAAATGATTCGCACATGAAAATATCAGAGGTGCGCGAGCCGGGATTTGAACCCGCTTCACTCGGTTACCCATGCGAGCGCGTCACCACTGGGCTACCACTGCCTTAAGAAGTATTATACTTATTACTAATTCAAATGACCTCGCCGCCATTATTACCATTACCCCAATTTTTGGGGGGGGGGGGGTCAAAAATTTGTGGGGTACAAAAAGCATGTACAACTAAAATAAATAATAAATACGATAAAAGAAATAAGTTACAAATTACATTTTATGCCAAACGACGTATTATCTTAACCTGATTGATGTGTTTTAAATGTCCTAAAGTAGTCATCTTTCAAGAGTGTCACAATTTATTAAGCAATCACATTCATAGCCTGCGTAGGCGCACCAATCGTTCTTAACTCTAATAACTGCTAATAACATTCAACCATCGTGCACTTTATGAGCCTAATGATTTGCTTATTGAAAGTTATTGCATAATTGAGCCACCCATGCGACCCTCAGCAGACTCGTACCGATTATCCCCTCATTGTTTGTTTATTTTTCGTTCAATTACCATCTGGTTCCTGCTAACTGAGTTAGCGGTATGTTTGCTGATTTAGCTAATAGCGGATCGTAATTCCTACTTAGTGGGGTTTACGTTTATAAATTGATTGCATTTTATGATATATTTTCCTAAATAGCATTTCTACAACTAGATAGTACCTATCTTTTATTGTTGTAATATTGAATGTAGAAAAAGTAGTTAACTTTCACGTTATCAGGACCGTTAATTACAAAAATAGAACTATAAAAACGTAGACTTAGCTAATTTTTAAAATACTTAAAAAATGGAATGATGTCTGAAATCAATTCTTGCGGCGTTTATTTTTTATTAATTTTACTTATTCTTGTAACATTCTGGCTAAGACAAAGAGCGAGTAATTGAATACTGACTCTATATATGGGAGATATAAGGCTCAAGTGAGTACCAACCACAAATATAATCTTCACTACTTTTACTCTCATAGTCCGGTGGGACGACCATCCGACACGACAAAAAGTGACCAGACGCACAGCTCGCCACGGAGATGTAATTCCACCAACTTCGATAATACAAGTTTTTAGACCCGACACGGGACATGAATCCAGAACCCATTAGTCTTAGACTACAGATTCGAAAGAGAAGGACCAAGTGAAGATTTGTTTTTTATTATGTACGACCTTGTACCTCACCAAAATAAATGTAAGAAGATGAATAGAAAATAAATGTTATAATTCAAAACGTTCTTTATGTGATACGATAAGAACACACAGACACATGTGACATACATTCGTAATACTAAGAAATAACTTTTTCAATCCTTTCTACATCCCAACTGTGAACATGGGCTTCTTCTCAATGCAAGGGCGATCAGGCGTTAGATTTTTAAACTTCTTTTTGATGATTTTCTTCAACTTAGGCATGTAATAATCATGTCAAAAATAATTCATACATGAAAATATCAAAGAACTGTGAAACAATGTGCAAAATACGATTAATGTTTTAAAACTATGCCGTATTTATCAATTTTATTAATTAATAAATTTATAGATATTATAGAATATGTTTTTATCCTCCGCACAATGAGTGGCCCGTGGCAGAGTCAAGCTTTGAAAGGATAATAATGAATATTTAATATTATGTTTTGTGGCAACACTACTTATAATAGTTATTTTGTTATCCATTTATTTTCTGTGGTTGCGATCTTTTTAATTTGCGTCATCTGTGCACCTCACAATCGCAAGTCTTACGTGAATTCAGAATTGTAATTAGAATTTTTAAGCGTTTTAAACAAAAATCTAACTTGATATATAGTGAACAAACCTATATAAAAGTAATAATTCTAAGGTACTGAATAGAACATTAAATGAAGTCCCTAACATTGACAATTCTCTTATAATTTTGAGGTTATATTGAAATAATCGGTACATCTTTTTTATGATTTATATTAATAATTACATAATTAACTCGAGGAAAGTCATAAATTTTATAATAAAAACTAAAAATTAGTTTTATTTACAAAAACATTAAAAAAGGTTCTGCGAATAAATTTACTTATGGTGCAACAACTAATAAAACAGTTTCTATTTGTGAATACCTATCATTAATGCGAGTATACCGACATTTATTGAGACATAATTTACTCTTTTTCTTTCAGAAATGGCTGCACAACTTTTTAATCGCGTCGGTCAACTCGGCCTAGGAGTCGCTCTCGTAGGAGGAGTCGTCAATTCAGCTCTATACAATGGTAACCCATATTTACATTTTTAGATTTTTTTAAAGATAGTTACACGAATGTATTGTATGTATTATGTTCTATTAATTTGTTAGTTATACAAAAAAAGAAAATAACTACATAACAATACAAACTTAGAATTTTTCAGTGATTTAAGTGTACAAAAGGTACCCAACAGACATATAGATAAACTTACTTTCACATTTATAATATTAGTGAAGATTTCTATTGTTTTAACTAATTTATTTTGTGACAGTGAGTAAACTTTTATTAATATATTAATATTTTTTATTTTAGTTGATGGTGGCCACAGAGCTGTTATATTTGATAGATTTGCGGGTGTCAAAAACTTAGTTGTGGGTGAAGGAACCCACTTCTTCATTCCTTGGGTACAAAAACCTATTATGTTTGATATTAGGTCAAGGCCAAGAAATGTTCCGACTGTAACTGGAAGTAAAGGTAGAATTTTAAATTACCTATATTTAAATTGGTGATATATTTTAGACAAAATCTTATTTATTTCTTTAACTATAACAGTTTTATGTACATTATAAGAATATGAGATAAAACAAAATTTCTCTTTTCCAGATTTGCAAAATGTAAATATCACACTCCGTATCCTTTTTAGACCAGTGCCAGACCAGCTACCTAGAATCTATACCATTCTTGGTGTAGATTATGATGAGAGAGTGTTGCCATCCATCACATCTGAAGTGTTAAAAGCTGTTGTTGCACAGTTTGACGCCGGAGAACTCATTACTCAGAGAGAAGTATGTTGACATTTTAGTAATATGTATTTGTAAATTTCAGTTCAGTATAATATGGAGTAGATGTATGTATTACTGAATAGGGGATATAATGGTAAATATTTATTTTGAAGAAATAAAGTATATATTATAATGGCTAAAGTTACAACACCCTATCCTACTCTGCCCATAGTCAGCAATTGACAAGGATTTCTATTTTGTGTAATTTGTATTATTGTATATATATAAAACTCAATTAAATCACATCCAGATCTGAAAGTTTAGAATATGCAACATTATTTTAGTACATAACACAATAGTACAAAATATGGTTTATTTGGCTAGATTGGGTCTGATACTGAATTAAATATTTGTATATTACAGATAGTGTCACAAAAAGTAAGTGAAAGTTTAACAGAACGAGCTGGGCAATTCGGTTTAATATTAGATGATATATCAATCACACACTTGACTTTTGGCAAGGAATTCACACAGGCTGTTGAATTAAAACAAGTTGCCCAACAAGATGCTGAAAAAGCAAGATTTTTGGTAGAGAAAGCGGAACAACAAAAGAAGGCAGCCATTATTACTGCCGAAGGTGATGCTCAAGCCGCTGTGTTACTTGCTAAATCATTTGGAAGTGCCGGTGAGGGTCTTGTCGAACTCCGTCGTATTGAAGCAGCAGAAGATATTGCCTACCAACTATCCAAATCACGGAATGTTACTTACCTTCCGCAAGGCCAAAATGTATTGTTAAATCTTCCTTCACAAAACTAATTTGAAAATATATATAAGATAGGTTCTATACATTGCAGTTGCTAATAAGAGGTTGCATTTGAAAACTTGGTACTGTTCCAGCTGGAGTGTAGTCATGTGTTAGCTTTATGTTTAATTATCAATAAACTATAAATTGTTAATTTAGTTTTTTATTATATACTGACATTACCAAAGAAATACTTTTAACATAAAATATATTCATATGAAATAAGGAAATTAATTGTACAAATCATATTTATTAAGGATACAAAAACATTTTAATATTAATCACAATTTATGTGCAGTTTTTATAGCTTGGCGATCACTTCTTTCCTTTTGTTAGGTGCTTAATTATTGCTAGCTACCACATACTTAATGAAACAAATCAATCTTTGATTCTATAGGATCACTCTCATTGTCTTTATCTAATAAACATTTCTGATTGATTTCAGTAAAATATAAATTTTCTCTAATACATGCTTCTTTGATATAATCTTTTTCTGCCGCATTTAACTCTCCAGGGAGAGTAAACTTACATAGATCAACATTTTCTTTGAATGTTTTAATAAGATTATCAACATCACTTTTAAAATTTTCACGAACTATGTTTTTACGATCTGATAGAATGTCATTTGAAATAAGTTTCTTTTTATAACAAGAATCTTTAAGTTTGTTCAGAAGTTTTAATTCAGCAGTGATACTTTCATTGGGATTTAATTGCAAAGCTCGTTTTAGTTTTTTTTCAGCTGCATCAAATTGACCTATCATTCTTAAAGCCTTTGCATTTTGAAAAAGAGCCTTTCCATTGTTCCATAGACTATTCAATCTATTGAGTTCATTACATGCAATACATGCTTTACATGGCAATTTAGTTTCATTATAACAAATAGCTAAATTGAGATATAATTTTTTCAGATACTTTTCTTGTATTTTCTCTTCACTCTCATCAGCAAGCCTACATCTATGTAACATATTTACTGCCTTTTTAAAAACTTGGCTTGCTGCAGTGAAATTGTTAGTTTTATACAACATTAGGCCTGAAGAATATAATAATTTGACTTCATGTTGGACTCTATTAAACATGTTAGGCTCTGAAAAATCTATTTGCCTAGAAAATAGAAACAAAGAAATTATTTTAAAATTTAGTTTCAAATACTTGACAAAAATTCTTTGCCACACAATAACTACCCACTTTTAACACACTTTTATTTTAATAATTTATTTATTGTACTATATAAAGTGACAATATAAGGGATTAAAGTAAGTAAAGCAAGTTGTACAAAAATGTGTCAAAAAAATAAGTTAAACTACTATCTCCTAAACTAAGCCAGAGCCTGTATTTTAGGTGACAGTCATTCCGCTTTAACAATTGAATTTACAACTATTTATATGTCATGCGAGTGCTTTAACAATATAAACAACTTATATTATAAATATGCATCATATTTGGATAAAAGAAAAATATTTTATTTATACATTAAAACACTGACCCAATACTTACCCATCTTTAGGTGTTATGATACTTTTTACAAGTTTTATGTAAAAAACACAATCAGCTTTGGGTTTTATTCTGGGTGGGATACCTATTTCTCCATACATAACTTTATAAGATAATAAAAATACTGATGTTTCACCCACTAACATTGATGCTATTGCCGTTTGAAGACCAGGTAATAATCCATTTTCATTTAAAATAACAACCTGCAACACAATACAAAGAAGTTTAGAGACTATTTTCATACCTTGTGTGCTCTTTTTGGGCACTAACTATGATCAAAAATAGAAGCGTCGTCTTATTTATTTAGTTCTAGCAACCTTCTCCTTTACCCTAACTTTGCTTGAGTGCATTCCTAGGTGTCTTAACTTTTTGAGCAGAATTAATTCTTTTCTAAAATAAAAGTAGCCTTAGTTACTCCTTATAACATCAGGTATCCATCAGTGAAAGTCCCGTCAAAATCGGTCCAGCCGTTTCAGAGATTAACCGAAAGAAATGGACAAACAATTTTAAAAATAGTGTTTTTTCTATAAGTATTGTATATAATTCCCTACGTTGATATTAACGTCCTTATTACTAAATGAGTAAAAAGCTATTCTTTTGACATTACAAACAGACAATTCGATTTTATTTAGATACATAGATCACAACATTATTTTAAATTATTTAATAACAGCAACACAAATAATTCAAATATAGCAAAGTTCTTAGAAAATAACCTCATGTTTATATTCATTTTTATAATTTAACACATGGGATAGCTAGCAATATAAAATAGATTTCTCATATTGAATTGATAAATCTTACCAGTGGTTTATGTAGTTTTGTGAAATCAAAGGGTTCATAACTATTTTCCCAATACCCTGAGAAAATAAATGAAACAGTAAATCCCTTATCTAATGGCAAACCCCCTCCTTCTTCCAAAATTTTTTTCTTAATAAGTCCATGCTCGTCTAATGGTGTTAATTGTTTTTGAAATTCTTCAAAAGATGTTACTGGTTCTCCAATATAATCTAATCTATTTACTTCCTTATTCTCTGGTTCAACATAAGCAAGATGATCATAATCTTCATTTATGTGAAGAATAGATCCACACGTAAAAAGTTTCCTTAAATAAAATTGTACATATCTAGTTACATTCTAATAATTATTAATACATACAATAAAATTATAACAGGTTTGAATTTGTATCTAAGCGTTTCATAAAATAATTGTTTTTAGAGAATATATGGGGTGCACAATCCCAATGAGTATGATATTAAAACAATTTAGTAAATTTTTACTTTGTTACATAGATACAAAAATACAACTTCAGCTTCCATTCTATGGCGTTCTATAAAGCGGGGTTCATAATTATTAGTAGAGCACTTTATATTATACACGAAAGCGAAAACGTTTGATGTTTTAAAAAAGAAAATACAAACCCTAAGTCTAGACCATCTTCAAGCGCTATAGGGGCTGAATCATGTGAGTTCATTTTTAGATATACTTTCTTTATAATTTATATTAACTTAATGTAAAGCTTTAGATTGTTCATTTATTTATAGGAAAACATATTAGTTTCAATATTCAAAACTTTCAAGTTTCGACATAATTGTAGTTAGTTAGTTCTTTGCTTTAATGGCTTTAATGCGTGCCAGTTGAGCACAAATTATTTCGCCAATGTCACGTTGAATGGAGGAGTCATCAACAAAATATAAATAAGAGTGTCAACAGTCAAAAATTAAAATCATGGATGACAAATAAAAATTAAAATGACAACTAGAAAGAACATTAACCAATGGTGAAGAATAACTTTTCTTTCCGGCAGATGTCACAATCATTATGATCCTCGGTATATTGTTAAGTTCTATAGCGTGGCTGGAATTTTATTGCATTTTATTTAAAATTTAATTAAAATGACAAATTGTGCAGTGGCAGGATGCAAAGAAAATGGATATCATTTGTTCCCAAAAGACAAAAACTGAACAAATTGTGGTAAAATCACAATCTTTATATGTAAGGGTATGTCGACATCATTTTACAGAAAGTGATTTTAAAACTCTTAAATCGTCTATAGGTAATTACATAGTAATTAATTACAGTTTCATACAAACTTTAATTCTCCATTTTACCCTGTTATGGGATTGAATTTCGAAAAATGCGAAAAACGTACGTGTATTGAAGAGCATAATACTAACTTTCAAGTTATACTGATCATAAATAATTCTTTGCCCATATAAACATTATTACCCTATTTAACCACCTCAAGGGATGCATTTCGAAAAAAAAATCTAAAAAATATATTATTTATTTTTTATCTTAAAGATAAACACCACTTTCTGTGTATTTCACATTAAGAATGACATAGTTTCATACAATATTTAATTTTACCAACTTAGGGGATGAATTTCGAAAAATCCTATCTAATCGGATGCCTACATCATATAAGGAATACGTTCTCTAAATTTCACGTTTCTATGATTACCGGTTAAGGCTGGGTGTTTATCTATCAGTCAGTCAGGACTACCGCAGGATGCACCTCTCCTTCTCAATTCGTTCTTCAGCTGGTCTAACGCCCAGGTACTATACATTGCACAGGTTAGATGCGAACACAATAGAAGCAAAAAAACCAGGTGCAAAAGAAATATTACAATAAATTGCTTAACCTCAGACTGAATGTAAATAAATCATACGTGTGGGTGCCACACGTACTTTCGAGAATCTTCCCCTTAAATAAAGTTTTTGTATTCATTTCAGCCGAGGCTGGCTAAGACTTATAGAACTTCTACTTTGGAACGGTGACGCCTTGGTATTGGTGGGTATAAATAAATAGGAAAAAATAAAATATTTTTTAATGAGAATTTAAATAATGTATAGTCAAAATATATCTACTCCCTGTTTTCCAATTAGAGCCTTAAAGCTCATTAAACGGCATAATGCCAACTTCGAATGTATGAACTACAGCAACACTCCGCCCAATCAAGCATTTTGAAAATTACTGCTTTAGCGTTATGCGCGCAAGGATACCAACTCAGTAGCAGAAAATATAAGAAGTTTTTCTTCAAAGTAGCATAGATCAAAATTTTATTTACAATTATCGTTAGTACTATTGTTTATTGTTAAACTAATTTGTAAGCTTTCGACTTAATCTATTAAAATAGGTACAGAAAGCTTATATATACTCTGTTCCAAAATAAATATTTAGTTAGTAATATTTCTTTATATTTTATTTATATATTTATTTAATTAATATTACTAAATTATTATTTTTTTCAACACTGAACCTAGTGGCCTCTGCTGGTGCACTTGAAAACTAATTCACTTTTTTTTTATAAATAAATTTGTTGTGACATTAACACACAGCACCATCTAGTTCCACGGTATGCTACGAGGCTTGTGTTATGGATACCAGATAGTTGATAAACTACATATATATTATAACTTTAAATACATACATATTATAAATATAAACACCCATGACTGGAGTACAAACATTCGTCACACAAATGAATGCCTCCAGCGGGACTCGAACCCGCGACCGCTGGCACAGCAAGTAGGTTCACTACAAACTGAGCCAAATGTGTCGTCAGTTTCAATTAAGCATTACCACACTTCGGCATAGTGCGGCATTATGTTCTGTAATTGAAAAACAGGGACTATTTCCATGGTGTCTGATCACGAACAAAGAAAAATTAGTTCATAAAATTGTTAATAGACGCCGTTACATGTATTTATTTTTTATTAAAGTTGTATTATAATAACAAAAGATAAAAAAATTATCTCAAAATTGTATATTATTGTTTCAAAAAATATTCTAAGTGAAGGGAAAAGAAATAATGTGCCCGTAAATCCTATTAAGATGGCGGTTTCACATTTTATGAATTGTTTGTCACAATTAAAAATAGTTAAATCACAGAATTTTTTTATTCGAATGCAGAATGAATTTTATAATATTTACCATACGTTATTTTGCACATATTTATAAAATAAGATAGTTTAGCTAATTGCGAATCAACGACATCTATTATTTATTCAAGCAAACAAATATAGCCCGCAGAATAGTCTGAATGGGCGCTGTCCAATTTCTTTGTATGGGATGAGGCATCTGTATTAGTATTATGTGATTTGTGCTATTACAAACTACAATTTTCTATTAAATAAGCTAATATTATAATATTAAAGTGACTAAAATGAAAAATAAACATAGAGCATGAATAAGTCATCGAAGCCAGAAATAGTAGTCCTATTTGAATTTGAAAATATATGGTATACTTGACGCCAAGCAAAAATATTTTAAAGTAATCTATGTTTTAAAGCGGAATATAAATATTAATGGAAAATTCATTATTGTGATAAGTAAATAAATGTTAATAAATAAAAGCAGCCAACGAATTTTATTTTAATAAATGAAAAAAAGAATAAGCTAATTAAACATTGTAAATTAACGATTAATACCTATATAATATTTCCCTTAAATCTATGAATATTGCAAACGATATAATATGTATATGGCAAAATCGAGAATAGTAGCTTAAACAGGAAATTCACGCTACTGTTTTCAACTTTGACTTGTTTGAAGGACCCTATATAATCTTTAGTCAGGACTCTGGTGGTCTATCTTGTTCTTTGTGAAGTAATCACTTAATTAGGAGAGTGTGTTTTAGTTACACAAGTGTTTCACATAATTTTTAAAGTCTACAATATTCTGAACGAAGTGATGGCAAGTCGCCTATATCAGAATAGGTTCTTTTTTAATTTATTAATTATATAATAACTACATTATGAAATATAAAAGGATATATATTAGCAAATTTGTTGTTATCCCTACCGATAGACAAAGGATATAAGCAAAATAAGGTATGATAGGTTTAAAAAAAACTTGTGTTTTAATAACATATTTATATAATAACTATTATTTAAACATTACGATCTTTGTTTCTGTTTCATTGCTTGGCGTAATACGGCAATATATGATGATATAAGATCGTCCATTTTATATCCTAAGGAGGTTTCGCAAAGGATCTTCGTTCCTCGAACAAAATTACCCATCGTCATATGGAAGAAAGTGTTCCCAGAGGACCAGTTCGACAGTTGTGAGAATGGATATGTCACGAGCAAATCCTATAAAAAATAAAAATATAATTTTTATAATATTCTTTAATTGTGATGTTGATTGTTGTGTTCATTGAAATCTTACTCTTGTAACAATTTTCCACCAAAAAATGTGTTCTAAAAAAAGTGTTATTCAGAATAAAAAGTAACTTTAATACCTAAGTTACTCTTCATGCTCAGGTTATAATTTACATTTGTATTTTATCTAATTGCAAATTCTATTTTTTTATGCATTAAGATGTAACAAACATACAAACAAACATATTTATAATATTAAATGACTATAATTTTTACAAGCATTAAATACTTACTCGACTTTGAGGATGAATTACGCTAACTCCGTTTCTGTTAATGCCTATGATAACCATTTCGGGATAAGATGGATCAGAAGTTTGTTTCACTTCAAAAAAAGCAGTTCCGAATGTCGGAAACTGATAGATTTTCTTTAAAAACTGTTCTTTAGCTTCTTCAATGCTCATAGCACCATGTTTTAGATAAGCTGAGCTAATGCCCGACTTCCATTGGGCGTTTGTCTGAATTCTAACCATATCAGAAGGTATAAACTCTTCTAGCATTTGTGTTATTTGTGGCAACACTGTTTGGTCGTTGCCATATCTTGCTCTATATATAAGTGCAGCTAATTCAATTAGATCTTGTTTAGAAGTTTTATGATAGCCTCGTAAGTATTTTGGTAGTTCTTGAGGGAAATAAAATATTTGATCCGCATTCTTATCTCTTCCAGGAATAGTGTTGATCCAGAGCTTTTTCATGAAGAATATTTGGTAATTCATTTGCAACTGGTTTCCTGCTGAATAAGTTATCAATTATTATTAGTATGTACATGAGCTTCAACGGATTGTTTGTAGGTACCTACATAGAAAAAGTGATTTAATTCGAGTGTACGTTTTTATTATATAATATATATCGAGTACATAACACCTCAAAGGTGGCCGCATGTTGGAATTGTAATATCGTCTAATAATTTTGATGTCGGTGCCTTTTTATCTAAAAATTAATTTACTTGCGATTTTCGTTTGCCCTAGATTCCGCTAAAGGCGCTACTCTAGGTCTATGAAAAATATTAAAAAAAATTGTGTTACCATTATTATGACAACTAATATTAGGAAACAAGTTGTTTCGATTTAAAACTTACCTCCTCGCCCCGGCCGGGTTTGCTTCATCCATTCAACAAGTTCATGAATAAAATCAAAGAAGTAATAAGTTTCTGGTACTGAGAATACTTTATCAACAATTTTCACGAATAAACTGAAACCATCACTGTTTTTAAGATTTAATCGTCCAGTTATTTGTTCACATAGCTCTCCAGCTTTGGTAGATGAGTCAACTTCAAATGCTTCATCGGTATCGTCTGGGAAGTATACCTTGTGATATATTTGCATGCTTCTGTGCTGAATTGCTTCAACTTCGACTACATATGGAGCGTACATTCTTTGGCCACCTCGTTGTATTTTGAAAAAGCGTTTCAAACAATCCTTTGCTATAGGATGCGGTCGAGTTTTTAAAAATTCTACAACTTCTTTCATCAAAAGCTGCCCACAGGTGAAAACACCAGTTGCAAGCCACATTAATTCCCACCCTCTCTCTTCACTAAGCTGTATCCTATTGTTTGTTAATTGCTTCATTATTTGACAGTATATTTCGTCTTTTAAAAGAGGTTCTGTTATAGGGGCCCTAAATATTTCATCAGTGTATTCAGTAGCGGATCTCGCTTTTGGAGATGGTATATCTCCCATATATTTGAGAATACCAAAGAATGCAGCAACTGCTGCTTTTGATAGTTTTTCGTCACTCACCACTTTTTTCAGTAATGGTTGCCGTATGGGTTCTCGAGAATGAATCCATAATTCACTTGCCATTGTTTTTTTCGCTGTAGTCAGCATGGATTGCTTTGATACTGTAGCATTTATATCATAATTCTCTCTGAAATGTTCCTTAGCAAATTTCTCCAAAGTGTGCATTCTCTTTCTTTGTATAGTATTATACTTTGAGAGTACTTTTTTGTCTGTATTGACATTGCCTTTCTTGAAAACTTCTAGTATCATAGACGGAGGCATCGTTAGTGTTGGTAGAATGTACACTTGTTCTGTTGGGAATAACCCTTCATGGCCATTACATTCTCCATATCCCCAGGTCGCATTCATTAAAGTTTCTCCAGTAGACTCTTGTAATAGCGTTATGAGATCACCTTTCTTATATTGTAAAAATGATGCTGCGTCACTGTATCCTTGCGAATCGCTTTGAGTAATTACGTAAATTGAACGTCTCTTCAAACCATCGATAAGGTATATTATAAGCGAACTAATTTCACTCGCATCCACGCTTTGGAATACAAATTCGTCTTGTTGTATGGTCCGAATTGTTATTCTTCCAACTTTGTCAAATTCATTGTCATCTTCATAAGCAACGTAAGTGACTTCAGGATACGACATTTCTAAAAGAATGTGCTCTGACTGATCAACTATGTATATTCCAGTCCAATTTACAGCCAATATAATAAGATCTTTGTTGATTGTATCTCCCTTTAATTTAACAGCCTCAAAGAATCTTGAAAATAGCATCGGCCATTTTATTTTTGCGAAAATAACTATATCTTCTTTACATCGAAGTGGTTCAACTGAAGTTTGGATACTTGATGATGATTCGAATGCTTTTGTGACAAGGTGTTCCCATTTAGTAAGAGCTACATCGTTCGATTGAATAAACTGATTTGGTATGTAATTCACTATTACTTTTCTCAAAAGATTTGGATCTATGCGCGGTCCGTATTCAATATAGTGTTGTTGAGCTGCAATTATAGCCAAATCTTTTTCAGAATTGCAGCGATATTCTCCAAATTTAACACCTTTTATTACTTGATGATAAATAAGGTTAGTTGCGACAGGATCGTCGGCCGGATTATGCCAAGGAGTAAACACTTCTTTTCTGTAGAATAATCTCCAAGGTGCATTTTTCTCTGGAGTTCCTTGTTCACGGGCAAATTGTTCACATTGCGATATTGCGTCCATGATGTGCTCAGTTTCACTTCCGAGTGAAAGGACTTTGTCGTATAAAGTAATGTAAAGTGAGAATCCAAATGTATCTACAAGTTCAATACTTTCGGCTATTTGTTGACATACTTCCTCTGCTGTTGTCGCAGAGTCTGATTGCACGGTTTTCATATTTTCATCCATTAGGGTAACGGTTAAAAGAATTGGTTTTTTCGTTTTCGTCGCTTGCAATTCGAGCCAGCTAGGTGGTTGCGTTCGGGGGCCATTTTTAAAAGTTCTAACTAATCTTCCTTCACAGTAAGGTGCGTAACCTGGTGGCCCTTCTCGAATGAATGAACGTAGGTATTTTAGGAGATGTTCTGACGGCGGGAAACAGCCAACACAAAGAGATAACAGAATCCAACCGCGAGCGAAGGAAGCCTTCGATGGATTATTTGTTAGTTGCTTGCAAAGCTGAGCGAAAATTTCATCTCTGAAAGTAAATAATTATCTACATATTAAGTAAAATTATAGATATTAAAACACATTGGTAATCCATAGATATAATAAAATTATAACTAAGCCAAATCTGTACATTAAATATTTTTTGGAAAATCTAATTGAAATAAACATTACTATCGATACCGAATCTATAGTTTTTAGAATTTTTGTCCATCTGTCTATTACAGCATCACAGATAAACCACGGGAGAGATTTTGATGAAATTTGGTATCGTGATAGCTGGTTATCCGGATCAATATATAGGATACCTTTTACCGCGGGAAAATATCTCATTTCTGAGAAAAAGTACAAAAACTGCAATGTAAGAGTATACTCGTACTTATATGTAAAACCTAAGAATTTGGTTTTTGGTCATCTGAACGCGGGCGGAGCAGCGGGCAATGCTAGTTAATTTATAATTACAAAATAACATAAAAAAAAATTCTGAAGTCCACTTGTTCGTTCACCACACGGTCCCAATATTAATATTATAAATAAATAATTATGTTGGGACATTCACACAGCACTATCTAGTTCCATGGTAAGCTACGAGCCTTGTGTTATGGATACCAGATATTTGATACATTACACATATATAACTTTAAATATATGCATATTATAAATATAAACACCCATGACTGGAGTACAAACATTCGTGCTCACCACACAAATGAATTCCCCCCGCGGGACTCGAACCCGTGACCGCTGACACAGCAAGTAGGGTCACTACAAACTGAGCCAAACGTGTCGTCAATTTTTTACACTCTTTTTAAATGATAATACAGCAATACAATTAAATTACTTATTACCTTAATTCTTTTCTAATAATACCATGGCCTATGATAAAATGAAGTTTCTCCAAATTGGAACTGCGCCGAGAATTCAACCAGTTGCTGTACATTTCGTTAGTCACTTCATCGTTAATTAAGCCCTTTAAAAACTCTTCATTTAACTTAGTTTGCTTTTTCAATGTTCGCTGAATCATTTTACTTTTACCTAGCCCATGTTCTTGTACCATAAGGTCCTGAAATAAATTGTAAAAAAAAATATAATAAAAAGTTAATATACGAGAATAAAACCTCTTGGCCGATTTTGTCTATGGCGGCTGATATCATTGGGGCCAGTCATTTGTGCAAGAAATATTGTTGTGCACAAATGTATGCACAGACACGAGTGCCAACTGCACTTGCTATGCTTTCACTGTCAAATACCTATGTAACGGGTCTTCGACACGACCAATAAGAGATGAGCCCAGGATCGAGCACTTTACGTGGTCTCTTTGGCAAGAGGGTATAGCACTGAGTATAGTAGTAAAATTTATTAATAAGAAAACTCAACAATTATACTTGGCTCAACCTAGGATTCAAACCGAGGACCTCCGGATCTGCATCCGTACCATGCTAGCCACTAAATAAAAAAGGCACTTATAAATGCGGAACACGGCATTCTTAGCATATAAAAAGGATACAATTTTTGACGTCAACTTCATTTTTTTTTGTCTTACATAAGAAAAAACATTTAAAAACTTAATAAATAAAACACTTCACTTACCTCAAATTCTTTACTCTTCTGGAACGCGCGGCCGACAGTGTCATACAATTTGCTCATGACTGGTATATTATCAACTTTCTCGTCAACATATTTAGGTTCTGCCAAATCTCCCATGAACCTCAGTATTGTAATCCATATAGCTTGAGACGCCATTTTGTCTATCGGCGACGGTAGGTCTAAGAGTGAATGTTTTAAAGGCTTTCTAGAATATTGATGACTTATATTTCCAAGGAAATATGTTGCTGCGAACTTTTTGAAATTATATTCGTCAAACTGCTCTAGTTCCTCCTCTTGCGGTAATGGAAGTATATTTGATAATGCCGGCTTTGGCGCCGATGACTAGAATGCATAATTGAAAAAAAACAAGAATTAAAAGAAAAGGAAAAACAAGTGTTATTAAAATTAAAATAAATATTATGTGATACTACAATATTAAAAACCGAAAACAAGCTTTATTATCTTTAAGCAAGTATTAATTTAAAATAAATTGCCTACTTACCATTCCAAATCCTGTTCCTCGCACTGTTCCAGCTGGAGTAGAAGAGTCTTTCAAGAACCCAAATACATCATCAACGTAACGATCATCGATAATGGTTGTATTTTGGACATCACTCTCGGGAACCACCTCCTTGGCTATCCAAATCGAAGACATTAGTTCTTCATATTTCTTTTCATGTTCATCTTCAGCTTTTTTAACATCAGTGATATTATTTGTATCAATTTTCATTTGCGCTAATCTGGCCTTCATAATGTGTGCCTTTTCTTTAATTAATTTTCTTACAAGATAACCTCTGCAATGCCCTTGAAGATTTTTGAAGAATCTCCTTAAGTTTATGAAAGTTTTTCTTAATTCTCTAGATTTGATGACTGCTTGCAACCTTAAGTAGCCACGTCTCATTCTCAAGAATCTGCTTCTGAAGCCTCGTGCTCGGAAATTTTTCTGAATTATAATAGCTGCGGCCTTTAATTTCAAGTATCTTTTACGATAAATAAATCTCCTTGCATTAGCTTGAACCCTTATAACTGCGGCTTTAAGTATTTTATGACGTAATTCCTCTAATAGAGTATCATGATGGTCTTTGAGAAATACTTTTGTATGCCCCAATTTATAGTCTTCATCTTTTAGGACTTCGCTACATATTTTTTTTGTTGCAACTTTACAATCAGTTTTTTCTGGTAGCGGTATTCCGGGTACTACCAATCTGTAACGATGTACGAATTCCGAATACGTATACCGTATAGGATAGCCTGCTTGTCTTATTTTAGCCGTTTCCATCAATCCTGCATAGCGAAGTTGCCTAACACATAATGCACGATCAAAAAGCTATAAAGCAAAAACAAACAAATAAGTATACTATACATCGCTTTTAATTTTTACAAGTCCAAAATTTCATTTTCTAAAAACTTTATTCACACTAAAGAAGAAGACTACGAAATAGTCAAATCGTTCAAGCAGTTTTTAAGTGATGAGCCATGAACAGTATTTTATTTTATCATATGGATTACTAACTAGTTAATACGATATTGTTTGAAAATAATTGATATTAGGAAAAATGATAAACTATCAATTGGTTTATCAAAATAAATTCGGTTTTTACAACGAATCTACTCACCCTAGGCTTTTTGTGTTCATTAGGTTTGATACACCTCACAAAGAATGGGTGACACGCGTACAATGTCTTCATAAGCGAGTCCAGGGAAGTCTTGAATTGATGACTTAAAGACACGGCTTTTCTACTTCCACTGTGGTGCGCCGAGATTTCCACAGAAAATAAGTTTCTTAAAAATGTGTTATTAGACTCTAGTATCATTTCTTTTATGTCTGCTGTTAGCATATCTCTGTTTTTGTCAAGAAAACCTGTAAAAAGGTTAAATTCTGGGTATGGGATGTGTCGCCATAAGTGAAACCAGTTGCTAAGCTTTCAGATGAAATTGAACGATGTTAATCTAAATTTATTCACTAATTAATTACAGTAAAATAAGACCAATTATTAAGACGAAAACTAGCTATATAGATAAAGTTACTTTGACGTTTATAGTATACGTGTATGACTATAGAAACTAAAGAGAAATCAAAACTTTTATAAAATCATGCCATATATTAGCTAATCTATACGAATATTATAAAGAGGTAAAGTTTGTGAGTTTATGAGGTTGTAGGGGGTAATCTCTGGTTCTACTGAACGGATTTAGATGAAATTTGGTAAGAAGATAGTTTGAGACCTTCTGAAGGACATAGGATTTTTTTGATTGAGACTTTTTATCCTGGAAATCATCCCTTAAGGAGGTGAAAATGGGGAAGAAAGTTTGTATGGGGAATCAACCTAGGGAAGAACCCGAGCGAAGCGAGGGTGAGTCGCTAGTATTGCATTAATTTATACGTTGGAAAATCAAATTTTACATGTTCATCTTTTAACTTTAGTTTCAAAATACAAATACATTTATATATTCTTTGTGTCAAAAATAATAAATAATACCTTTAACTTCATACAGCACGTCACCAGCAAAGTGTCTCACTCCAAATTTGTGTTCACGCGTGGATTTCGGAGCTATATAACTGTTTTTAGCGCTATGGTTGCTATTTAACTTAGAGAGCAAAGTGAGGTCTGTGCCTTTAGGGAACCTAGATTCTTCATCAATAAGTGAAAGTAAATTCATGGGTTTCTGACCAATTAAATCCAAATTTTCTTGATTATCTACATAATTAATATTAGACCATATTATTCCTTCTTTAGCGTATTGCTCCTGTTCAAACTTGAAAATATGTTTTATGAAAAACTGTTGTAAATTCTCGTTAGCGTAATTAATGCATAACTGCTCAAAACTGTTGGAATCAAAGTTTTCGAAACCAAAAATGTCGAGTATGCCGACTGAACCTCCAGTAAGGGGTCGATCTTTGTGTAATGTCTTATTTATCATCTCTACTATATATTCAAATATGTGGCCGTATAAAGCTTTTACTAGAGCATCGCGACTTTCAATAGCTGACGCTGCCGAAATTGGTGAAACCACTTTGTCTCCTTGAACGAGCAAAGTTTTTCGTGTTAATGCTTCACAAAATTTGGCTTTATTTATTCCAAGTAGATTGGAAATTCTATTCGCATTAAGAGCATCACTCACTTCAGAACTATCAATATTATTTACATTCAATGATTTAAATTTAAGATTTCCCAAATGTAAAATGGCCGCTAAAAGTGTAAATATCCCCCAAACATCGTTGTCGGAAAAATTTAGAACTTTAAAAGCGGATCTTATATCGGAAAATTCTACAGCATCGTTGCGGCCATCACACGTGAGCATGTTGCCAGAGTTTAAATATTCGAAGTCCGCCGGACGTCCCAAATCCAAATGTTTTTTTTCGTCAGCAGATAACCCGGTTACCAGTGAATAGAATATATGATAGTTTCTTTCACCCTTATTTTGTCGCACTATACGTGATTTCTCTAACAAATACTGTTCAATATTGCCACCTTCGATAACTCCTTTACTATTAAAGTAAATGTTTATATATTTTCCAAAACGTGACGAGTTATCGTTTTTAACTGTTTTTGCATTTCCGAAAGCTTCTAGAATCGGATTTGTTTCTTGTATTTGTTGTTCTATCCACGAATGTTTGCCACTCGCAGCTGCTAAGTACTGCAATAGTAGCTTAGTGCTCTCTGTTTTGCCGGCACCGCTTTCTCCGCTGAAAAAAATTTAATAATTATACATATCATCTATACTATTAACATTCGATAACAAAGATGAAGATTTTCTTTGTTTGAGCGCGCTAAGCTCTGTAACTACCAGTCTGACTTAAAAATTATATAAAAAAACGTGTGTATGTAGTTATGTACGCACGTAAGAAGTTATACTTCTTTGGCGTAACAGAACAAAAATAGCTAAAGATTTCATCCCGTATGTTACAACTGTTTGTAAAAGGAATGCAGCTAACTTCATCATGTCGCTTTTTGGCTGTCGATGTGCGCACGCGTCGTTAAAATTTTACTCTTATATTGTTTTTCAAACGTGCCAAAAGAAGTATAACTTCAAAAATAAATAATAATACCAATAATTTTATTTATTATATCATCATTACTTTATCTATATACTATAACATTACTATATTATAACATTATTATATCACTAGCGTCGCCAACAGCTCTGTCCGCGTAGTTAAGGGCAATTGTTCCACTCCAAAATGTCTTAACTCATAAACATGATGCTAGATAGTCTATAAACTTCCTTAACAAATAGGCTTTAAAACTTGAGATAGAACTTGGAGCGGAGCAACTAAGTACTAGACAACAAGTTGAGCTGCTAAACTAAGCTACTTTTAATAATTAAAATGAGCTAAATTAAAAAAAATGTTAAGTATCTAAAATCTACTTCTATACTTTTACACTTAAAATAAATGTCATCCACATACAGGAGTAAAATCTGTGGTTTCAAATTTTGTTATATTATAATAACAAATTATCACAAATATATACGATAGTGTATAATTCAGATATGTAAAATATTAAATAACTATGAAAATGCACCTTATTACAATACACTGATTTGTAGCAGTATCCAACAATTCTTTGTATGAATTATTTCCAATGGCAAATATATGAGGCGGTATATCACCGATGTTATGGTCTTGATAAAAGTGAATTTGATCCATGGTATATATTGGCAGGATTTCATAAGGGTTTATTGCTATTAACATAGATCCAGTGTACGTCTGAAATTATACAGCATACAAAATTATTATTTAATGTAAATCACTTTTTTTAATAATATTATATCTACATACTTAATAATAAAATTATTTTAATAGATTATAAAATTAAGATATAAATAAACGATAAGAATACAGTCTTTTATTTTTATTGTTTGGTAGGACCACACTGACATGACCAAACCCCAGAATACTAAGAGAGAGCTTTGACGTAGGACCCGCTACTTTTGTATTTGACTATAGATGAGAGGGTTAAAACCACGTCTTATATTCTATAAAAGCTGCTATTGAAAATGTGTTGACCCGAAATTAAAGTCCATTTCATAATGTACGAACTTTAAGCTAAGCGTTAGACTTAAGGGTTATTTTTCAAACAGATTAGGTACTAGGTAAACGGTGTATGCGGTGGTACAGTGGGTGGATGATAGGAATTTCTTAATACATCAGATATCATGTAATCTATTCCTACAAGCTTATTTCGTATAAACTATACTAATATCATAAAGAGGCAGAGTTTGTTTGTTTGTCGCGCTTATCTCAAGAACTTCTAATCCGATTTGAAAAATTCTTTTTGCATTAGATAGCTCGTTTATTGAAGGCTTTATATCATATAATTCTATCTATTCCATACTAACCGTTAAAACGTACGTAGAGACAACCCCGAGCGAAGCGAGGGTTAATTTGCTAGTGTTATTATATATACCTAATATAAAGTTGGTCGTTTTTATTACCAAACACAATTTACGATTTATTAACGTAGGTACTTATGATTGCCGATACGTAGGTACTTAACATTCCTTTATTATTGGTACTATTTATAATACGATATACCGATTATCACTAATTTTGATAAATTATTTAAGAATTCTATCAGAATATAAATATATTCTAGGAATTTAAATTTATCTCAAAACTTTCTTGATATATTGGTGTTCAGCAAGATTGCCTACGTCTAAAGTTAGCTAGTATAATACATCTAAGTATCGACAGATGAAGTAAATTATAGCTATTTTGAACCCCCGACTCAAAAAGAGGGGTGTTATAAGTGTGACGTCGATGTCTGTCTGTCTGTGGGTGTGTCTGTGTGGCATCGTAGCTCTCAAACGGATGGACCGATTTCGATGCGGTTTATTTCATTTGAAAGCCAGTTTCCTTGCAATGGTTCTTAACTATGTTTGGTTAATATCGGTTCAGCAGTGTAAGAGTAACAGCTCTTTTCCAAAATGATGTAAGGCATTATGGCGTATGATTACTCAATTAAGTGCTTCACACGTGTCAGTGCAATCGTCAAATGACAATTAATTTGCGTAGGGGGGGTTTTAAAAATTTATTTTATAATTATAGATGTTATTGTTAAATCGTACTCTAGGAGGAACAACTGTCGTTATTTTCGTAAACAGCCACTATCTAAATCTAATGTGCGTCAATTATTTTAAAAACCAGTGAATATGGAGTCATAATTATAAGCACTAAGTCTTTCGAGGTCTTTCTACTATAAGGTTGTAAGTGGTCTAAAAACAAATGTCTTACATATATAAGCTGTTGATTATATCTTATATGCAAGTTCCTTAGTATTGTATACTCCTGGAGTTCCCCCAGAGTGATCATGTCTTCGACGCTCGCAAGCGAGGTCGTGTGTAGCGGTTTGATAACATTTGTGACATCTGTTGAAAACACCTCCCCATTATCATCTCGGACTTGTATCCTTCCTCCCGAACTGTTTAAGATTTTTACAGCTATTGGCACTTCAAATTCCGATTTCTTTTCTGGGTTTAACCAAACATATTCCTTAAAACAATTAAAAAAAGTTTTTATGTAATTTGTTTTATGTTGCATGTTCTTCTTCTTGTAACTGGGTTAAAAACATCAATGAAAACATTACTTACTGAAATTTGTATGCGATCAGCCATTTTGAATCAATTTTTGAGATTCTACTTATGTTACTATAATATTCTTGAACTTACATCACTGTAACAATATTGAATATAAACTGCCATATTATGCTATATTTTTATCAATGTTCCAGATTATTTATCGATATTGTAAAGATAAATTAATCTTATCATAAATATTCAAAGATATGAGTCAAACAACATCATTATACATGTGGCACTCGCTACTTAAATAGTCTAATATTAAAGATTTTATTGATAAAATTAAATCCCTGCAGAAACTAAGTGAATTACACTTAAAACAAACAATAATGTAAATTAGTAAATACAATTTATTATAATAATTCAGTTACAAACAACTTAATCTAATGATGATTCCAAATTACTTCTTTTTCTCATCTTTATCTTTTTTCTCCTTTGTTTTGTCATCTGATTTCTTTTCATCTTTCTCATCTTTTTTCTCTTTCTTATCCTTGTTTTCATCTTTCTTTCCCTCTTCAGCATCCCTGTTTGTAATTTTGTTGTTTATCAGATTGTGTAGTGCAATGATTGATCTCACTAAAGCTGCTAAGTATACTACAAGAGACTGATCGTTTGTCTTTATATAAAGGTTATCAATAAAATTGTCACTAGTAATATCTGGCAGAAGGTTAAATATGTCCTGTAACTGGTATATGATTTGGTGGTTCATAGGTAAAGAGCCTTGGCCAACTTGAACAAGGTAATCTCTAATTTCACTTAACTGTGAGTGAAGACCTCTAAGTCCAAGTAATTGATTTGTTATGCGTTGTGAAAGACTTCCCACTGTTGTGTCTTTGATATCCCTCAAAAGATGTTCTACACCCACTTCCTCAGCTTCTTCTGCTCCAATTTCACTAGGAACATGTTCAAATGTTCTTGTAGTTGGACTGCCATCATCATGAACTTCTTCTACAGCTCGATAAGCTTCAGTAGGTAAGCCCAAATCTTTAGGCTTTGCATCAATAATGACAAGAACTGAATTTGGGCAATAACGTCTAATTAATTCATTAATAGCTACATCATTTTGATGAAGTTTGGGCCCTGTATGGTACCAGCCCACTACTTTTTCCCTAGCATTAACCTTTTTGAACATGCCATACATATTTTCCAAGTAGTCATGGTCCAGGAACCAAACTGATTTATCTTTATCATCTTCATCGAAGGGTACTGAAAACAGAAAATACCTTTTTCTTAAATCAGCATAATTGAATAGTAAGGTTGTTGATATATGCAAATACATAAGGCTATTCCTAAATTCTACGATTCTTATAAAACATGGACATTTAGAACCTATATTTATTTAGAAATTAAATATTCAATGTTAGAAAACCTAGTTTGATAAAAAATTTCATACCTGCAAAACTGTTTGAAACGTCTAGAACACCCTTAGCTCTCCAACAGCCTAAAAGCACTCCGACTACCCGCTTTTGGTTGCCTATTTTGCCCATTCGATTGAAATGATCTACGACACTCAGCAATACAAGAGGATGAACAACCACTTTGGTTGTCACTACTTCTTGACCAGGCATTTTCTAATTCTATATTTATTATGTTTATAAAGATAATTTAATTTTATGTTTTAATTGTTAATAGTATGATTTACAAGTAACAGTTAGTTTCCAATAACTTTTAAATATTTTTTTACAATACAAAAATCGCCGATCACCAAGAAAACCACAGACTCACAATGGTTTATGGTAGAATTACAAAACTTGACAGTCATCACAAAAAAGCATACTATTATTCTGCCTATGATATTATATTTAAATTTATAGCCAGCACACACCAAAGCAGTTATCCATCATTTTTTTTTCATTCGTTCGTCTTCGTTTGCACACTATTTTAAATGTGGTCTGCTCCGGATAATTCGTCATGTGTTTTATAAATCAATATATTAAGTAACGCTAAAATAACATTTAATATTTTCTTCCTGAGTATTTTTACACAAAATTTAAATTATAATAAAATTGTGTCATAAATTCAAGAAATATAAAAAAATTGGATAAATATAACTCGAGTACTAAGGATTCCGTAGCATAAAACATTAAAATAAGTTTTTTTTGATGTAACAACATTTTTACGGTTTTCGAATTCTTCCTTTTACTAATAAAAAAAAATACTATAAGACATTGCTTCTTGCCAAACATGATTCTAAGTCAACGGGAAGTACCCTACAGGTGTTGATTTCTTTCTGAGTTTCCTAGCGAACGTCAAAATATGTATAATATATTTATTTTTAAATTATCTACCATGTCAAATAAGCCATAAATGTTAAAGACAATTGATAGCTACTTTTAAATAATATACTCTGTGGTGTTCGGTCCTCTTGTGTATTAAATATAATTTGTACTACATCATCCGATCCAACATTGGACGAAATCTCAGCGTCTATTAGCGTCTTTATACAATAAACTAGCGACTCACTCTCGCTTCGCTCGGGTTCGTCCGTTTCGCTTGCTTCCCCATACAAACTTTCATCCCCATTTTCACCCCTTTAAGGGATGATTTCCGGGATGAAAATCCTATATCCTTCGTTATCTATGTAATAGTAATCCTTCCGTATCCTATGTTCTCCCCAGGGTTTCAAACTATCTTCTTACCAAATTTTATCTAAATCGGTTCAGTAGATCCAAAGATTATCCCCTACAACGTCACAAACTCACAAACTTGACCTCTTTATAATATTAGTATAGATTACAAAATAAATATAAAGTCGCGCTATTAAATAATAATAGTTATTTTTTAATTATAAGATACAATTTAAGATGTTCAAACTTTTTATGTAATCCTTTATATAACTTTCATTTTCACTTCAATTTTTTTCAACTTTCGTGGCTGTTACATGATCTTTGAGATGTAGTCTATTGATTAAAAAATAATTATTATAAAGGACAGTCACCCAATAGCGAAGTTTTACACTAGTATCCTCTGTAAGCGGCCCCAATAGATAGTTTTAGTTTAGAAAAAAATAATATAACGATAATCCAGCTTCATAATAGCAATATTTAAAAATAACACGAACCTTGGAATATTTTCTTTGATTTTCCTTACCCGACTTTTACTTATTTACCTATGGCACAGACTGTTATGAAATACTATATTACACGCTCCGAGCAATAACACGCAAGGAGGACTCGTATTAAACTGAACCAATAAACTTATAATTTTCACTGCTTTATCTAACTAAGAGATGACGTAAGTTAGAGAGAGGCGCAATAATAAAGAAACAATCGTCTTTAACGATGTGAAGCCACTTTTTACTTGTTATGGTGACCAGCTGGTGACCTAATGTGTTTTTGATATTTGTGATTATTTTAATGATAAAAGAGTTATTGGATGTAACAGACTTTGTTATAAGGAAACTTAATAAACATTTTGGTTTTTGTTTTTTTTTATTTTGTCTGTCTCTGTCCCTCTCGTTGACAAGTGTATAAGAAGGAAACGATCAGATATATTGTAAACTAGCATTGTCCGCGGCTCCGTCCACGTTCAGATGACCAAAAACCAAATAAAATAGCGCTTTTGTTTTTTTTTCAAGATAAGCTAATTTTAATAGTTTTTGCCTTATCTAGTAAGTTACCTTGCTACTACTATACTACTAACATTTAATATCATCGTGGTTTTATTCTAACCAGTTTTTGTATTTTTTCTAAGAAATGAGATATTTTCCCGCGGTAAAAAGTATCCTATATGTTGACCTGAATAACCAGCTATGACCATACCAAATTTCATTAAAATCCCTCCAGTAGTTTTTCTGTGATGCGGTAACAGACAGACAGACAGACAAAAATTCTAAAAACTATAGATTCGGCCCCTGTATCGATAATATTGTCTAATAAGATTTTCCAAAAAATATTTAATGTACACTTTCAACTTAGTTAGAATTTTGTTATATGTATAGATGTTCAATTAAATAGAGTTGCTCCATGCTTGTTATTGCTCGAAGATTACTCGTATCTCTACTTTGTCTATGATCGGTATTACACCATGTGCTCTGACTCTCAGTACATACACTGTTTTATAGTCTGAATGAAATATGAATGTCATCACTCATCAGTCATTGTCAAAGAAATATGATTTTTTTTAATATTTTGTATGTTCTTTAAATTTTAAAACTTTCGTATTTTAAGGACAAAATTGTAAATAAAAATATCCTTATTTTAACAATGGCTTCACGGACTTTAACTTTTGTGACAGGCAATGTTAAAAAATTAGAAGAAGTAAGAGCTATTCTGGGTAGCACTTTTCCAATAGAAGTTGTAAATTATAAATTAGACCTACCAGAGTTACAAGGCGAAATAGACGAAATTTCAATTAAAAAATGTCAAGAGGCAGCTCGACAATTAAAGAGACCGGTCTTTATTGAAGATACTAGCCTCTGCTTTAATGCATTGAAAGGCTTACCTGGACCATACATAAAATGGTTTTTAGATAAATTGGAACCTGAAGGATTAAACACACTTTTGACTGGATGGGAAGATAAGTCTGCAGAGGCAGTTTGTACATTTGCATATAGTTCAGGGCATAACAATGAAGTACTGCTTTTCCAAGGAATAACAAAAGGTACAATAGTACCTCCTAGAGGTTCTAGAGATTTTGGTTGGGATTGTATATTTCAACCTATTGGTTATGATAGAACATATGGTGAATTAAGAAAAGAAGAAAAGAATAAAATATCTCATAGGTACAAAGCTTTAGATAAGTTAAGAAGTTATTTCATTGAGAAGAGTGGACAATTCTAATGTATTTTTTGGTAACAAACTAAATATAATAATACATATTTTTTTGTTACTTTACTAGAAATAAAAAGAAACCAGTTATAAATCCTTTATTTTTTATTTGGTCACAATGAATACTAAACTTAACATAGTCATTAATATATAATAATTATAATTTTTCATTATATTACAGTTTGATGAAGATTCAATACCAGGTGCTACATAAGGTTCTAAATTTGATTTATTATAATTTTTATAATACCAGTCGTGATTGTCAGCATGTCTGGGTTTATTAGTTCCAGAACTTGTAAAATCTGAAAATCTCGTTTTAGCTTCTCGATTAATTACTGGGGAAAAATTATTATGAAGATCATAATGCTCAGCATGTGGTAAGTTAACTTTAGTGATAGTTGCTGTTCTATTATGATTTTTAAAATCATTGATATCAGTATTTGGCAAAAGAATTGCAGATAGAGCTGTAGGTTGGCTTTCTATATTTTTAATTATTGCTGGTGGTTTGGAAGTTATTATAGGTAAAGGTGTCAAACTACTTGTCTCTAGCCATTCCTGTAGAGTTATATCATTAGTTGTGTCAGTAGTAATAATTCCTTCTTTTTCTGTTGTGTAACTAATAGTAACATTGGATTCCATTAAATTATACTTACTTACTATTAGTGGATCTGTGTTTTGTTCTTCTATATTTTTGGTTCTATTGTATGCAATGTGAGTGCTATTATCATTGTTATGATAGGCTTCTAACTCATGTATTTCAGTCTTAATTTTTTTTTGAGTTATATTATTACTTACTGTTGTTTGTGGAGATGTATTTTCAACTGCTAGAATACTTTGATTTACTCTCTCAGAATTAAGGTTTCTCATAAAACCTTCATTGCTTGGTATTGTGTGGGATACAACTGTAGGATCTGGTATAGGTATGAACCCATTTGATGTAGTAGGCATCATTGGTGAGAAACCACCAGTTTCAAATCTGGGTGGTTCTGTGACTTGATATTTCTTGACATGTTGTTGATTATTTTTGTTTTCTGTCCAATCTATTTTACGGCCTGTGTTCAATATTTTCCCCATGTCAATCGAAGGAAGAGGAACTCCAAAAAATGTGAAACCATTATTAGGAATCGGAACTTTTAAAGCAATACCAGTTTTTTTAGTGGCATTTTTCATAGAAGCATAAAGGGTAGGTGTATTACCTAAATTACTTTGAATCTTATTAGTCTGGTTGACCTCATTATTTAAATGGTCAAGTAAAGTTTCATTGTAGGGATAATCAACATATTCATCATAGAAATATTCTGATTCTTCAGGTAAAGGCCTGATATTTAATTTATTACCTTGGTAATTATTTTTAATATGTGTGTCATAGTCTTTAATCTTATCTGAAGAAGAAAAAACCTGTGATGTGGCTAGATTTGGAAGCAGTGGTTCATTTTCATAACTTAAACAAGATTTTACATCTGGTTTATCAACAGGCATATTCAAACAGTCATGTTTTGAAAAGGGCATTCCCTTGACATATGTTCCATCAGCACATTTTGGACCAATAGATGATGATTCTGACAACCACGATTTTAGCCAAATAATAGCACAATTACAGACAAGTGGGTTACCTTAAACAAACAAAAAAATATATTTTAAAACATAAAATATAGTTGTAAAGAATGTTTTTTTTTAATAATTTTTGAGACTCGTCCAAACAAATCAAACGAGTTTAAGTTCGAAGATTCTTTCTCTATCCATTTCCTAGCTCCATTATTAGATCTGCTAGATAATATTAAGTTATTAAGTATATTATTATCCCTTTATCATACAAAGTTTCAAATCGATATTACTATTAGAAATAGATTAAAATTAGCTTCCACAAAATTGATTACTTAGGTAATAAGTTACAACATATGTAAGTGAAGCTAATAAAATAATGTTTTAATAATAGCAGTTAACAAAAAATATACATTTTTGTTATGCTAGTAACTAGAGATAAAGATTGTTATTAGTCATAATAAAAGAAATATAGAATTTTTATACTTACCATCAATATCTAAAATAGCGATATTATTTCTTAATTTTGCAAAATCAATTTCGTATACGGACATTAACCTATTATGTCGTAAAGACAAAATCTTTAATCTCGGCATGTTATCAAATGGCTGATTATTAATATAGCATATATGATTATTGTCCAAATTAAGTTCAACTAGCCATTCCATAAGCTGAAATGATTCTTTAGTAATCCTTGTTATTCTGTTGAAACTTAAATCCAGAACTTCTAAAGACACAAGTTGCTTGATACCTGAATTTTCCAAATTGGTCAGTTGATTATTACTCAGATTCAAATATTGTACTAACGGTATATTTTCAAATGCTCGTATCGATATATATTGCAATCTGTTTCCTTGCATTTCAAGTATGCGTAATTTTGGCAGATTTGTAAATGCTCGATCTGGTATGTCTATAATATGATTTCTGCTTAAAAAGATTGATAATAGCTTAGGAAGATTCGCTATAGACATCGGGTGGATTATTTCTAGTTGATTATTTTCTAAATCAATCGTTTCCAAATTATTTAAATCTCTGAAGCTTCCTGTACGTAGTTCCACAATTTTATTACTGTCCATTTTTATGCTAGTTAACGATTGTATATTATTTATGATATTACCATCAAAGTTCTTAATATAGTTATGACTTGCGTCCAATACATTTAATTTTGTTAACATATTTAATGTATTGGGTAATTCGTGAAGGTTATTTGATGATATATTGAAAATTTCAACGTCTAAACCTCTGTTGACTGTGTTGGGAATAATGCTTTTTAATTTATTTTTACTAAAATCAATTTCCAACAGAGCATTATTATTTTGAATGGCCATAAAGTCAAAATTCTCTATATTATTACCGTGCACATTAACTTGTTTGAGATGTACAAGTTTGTTGAAACTTTTAGGATGGATACTTAAAATTTGATTGTCACTTATGTCTAACAACTCTAAACGTTCTAAATCACTGAAAGTAGACACCTCTATTTGTCTAAGACCATTGCGCTTCATAAACAGTCTGCGTAAATTATGTAGCGTCTTCATACCACCATAAGGTATTTTCTGTATTCCATTATTAGATATATCAAGGGTTCTTAAAGAAGGCAAGTCTAGGTCTGGAGATGGAGGTAACGGCAAATTTGTTATTTGATTTCTTCGTAGATATAATTGCTCTAAGCCTCTTGGCAACCCAGGCAGAAATTCAACCAGCCGATTAGAACTAGCATCTAATTCGTAAAGGTTTGGTAAATTACGAAAAGTTGCTGGATGTACTGATATTAAGGAATTACCAGATATATTAACGTACTCTAACAAAGGGGTCTCCATAAAAGTAATCGGATCGATTATTGTTATTTGATTATTACTCAAGTTAATTCTTCTTAATGCTGGAAGATTGTATAATAGCTTCGGTTGTAACCTTTTAAAGTAGTTATTAGATAAATCTAAGCCTTTTAGTGAGGGGAGATTCCAAAATGGACCCTCATTTAAATCGTTTAAAGAATTATTACTTAAATGTAGTTCTCGTAGTGCTGGCATAGCAATAAACGCATCTGCCTGAATATACTTTATATTATTCTTGTTTAAATGGAGGCGTTCTAAGCTTGGATGACCTCTTAATGCTCCTCTTGGTATTTCTTGTAATAAATTATCACTCATATCTAAATATCTTAATCGAGGCAATGCTTCGAGTAAAGATCTAAATTCTGATATATGCATGATTTTATTACCAATGAGAGATAACTCCTCAACTCCACTTCCAGACTGTTGTAAAAATGATTCTGGGTGAATTTTTATTATGTCATTAAAGTTTAAGTCTATTACTCTTAATTTAGGTACTCTATGAAATGATCCGTGATGAATGATATTAATATTGTTATTTGACAAGTATAAAATTTCTAACATTGGCTGATCTACAAAAGCCCCTTCATTTAATTTGTTGATATTGTTATGATTTAAATTTAATATAGAGAGCATAGGCAAGTCTCTAGTGGCTCTACCGATCATCGAAGCGTCTGATATCATATTATTGCTTAGCGATAGTTCACTCAGTTCTGGAAGTAAAGATAAGGCTCTCATGTGAATCATATTGATTCCACAATCGGTAATCTCTAATTTTTTAAGTTTCGGCAAATTATAAAAAGCGTTTTCTTTTAAAGTATGGAGACTTAAACTTCCTTGTATGAACAACTTCTCAAGATTGGGAAGGTTTTCGATGTTACGTTCGTGAATATTACTTAAGCTCTCTGATTGTATATTCACGTATCGTAGATTTGGCATATTAATAAGGGCTGGTACCCGTTTTAAATTTTGCGATTGTATAGTTAAAGCTTGCAAATTTTGTAATTTCATCAAACTCTCCGATGGGATACTTTTAAGATCATTTTCCACTATAAATATTTCTAGTAAGTTATTTTCTTGAGACTCTAACCAAGCCGCTGATACTCTTTCTAGACCATTGTGCCGAAGCATTAAACGAAGAATTTTGACATTTTGAAATAATCTTCCCGGTAAAGACGGTAAATAATTATTTTCGATGATGACTTCATCGATAGGCTTTCGTATAAATTCACCTATTTTTTGAATGCCTTTTGAAACTTGCGGCAAGTCGCTGTGTGTGCACCTAAAAAAAGATACCTACTATTTAATTTTATTTTATACCAAATATTAATTTCTCTACAAAGCAAGAAGTTTAATAAAATAAAATCAAAAGGATAATACAAAAAAAGTGATGTTGTAAAGTTTCAGCAATTAATACGGTTCATGGTAACATTTAGAAACAATTAAAAATATAGTAGGTTTATAATAAGTGGATTATAATGTAACGAAAAGTTGTTCCAATTAAACAGCTTAGAATTTATTGAGGACTAGCATTGCCCACGGCTCCGCCCGCGTTCAGATGACCAAAAATCAAATTCTTAGGTATTACATATTCGTATACTTTTACATTGCAGTTTTTGTATTTTTTCTCAGAAATGAGATATGTTCCCGCAGTAAAAAGTATCCTATATGTTGACCCGGATAACCAGCTACCATCATACCACACTTCATCAAAATCTACCCAGTGGTTTTCTCGTGATGCGGTAACAGACAGACAAACAGACAAAAATTCTAAAAACTATAGATTCGGACTCTGTATCGATAATAATGCTTATTTCAATTAGATTTTCCAAAAAATATTTAATGTACAGATTCGACTTAGCTACAATTTTATTATATATATAGATTTATAGAAATCTAAAAAATGAAATGCATAAAATATTAAATAGATACTCATGTTACCATATTTGTACGTCTTCGTTTCGGTGGGTACATATACAAGGAAGTATAAATTCTGGTGAAGGACATATTGTTAATTGGCCTGAAACAACATCAAGTATCAATAGTGTAAGCCATAACAATGTTCTTTCTTTCTTGAAATCCATTCCTCACAGACTGTCATTGTTGCATGCTCAAGTGTTTCATTTTATTTGACGGCATCTGAAAAAAAATAACATGCGTAATTTAATTCAATTTCTTTTTCTGCTATATAGATTATAATACTTTCATCAAATAACCCGTTTTTACGTTATAATAAACTGTAATCGTTTTTTTTTATTAAAAACAAACTATCGATCGTGACTTCGATCTTGTCGAAGACAAATTCGATTTAGTCTGCAATCACTCAACATGCCTCGCTTTGTCTAAAATAGCCTGAATCTGAAACAGTCGCTGATGCGGTAACAGACAGACAGACAAAATTCTAAAAACTATAGATTCGGACTCTGTATTGATAATAATGTCTATTTCAATTAGATTTTCCAAAAAATATTTAATGTACAGATTCGACTTACTTAAAATTTTATTATATGTATAGATTACATTCGACATAATTAAACAGAGCCAGAAACAATATTCAATTGATTTCAACAGAGATTTATTCGTTGTTTAAGGTTACTGTAAAAACATGAAACTACCCAGCTTCCTGTATTTATAGAATACATTTAATTATCCAGTTGCGTCAAGGACGTCATGAAACAATAAGTGCAAAACAATGGTCAGTACTGTAATTTAGGTGCACTTTCACTCCTATTGTTCTTATTTGCTATCTGTAACTCCTAATACTTTGTAACATTATAACAGGTAACACGGTTACGTAATAAATTGAAGGTTCCCAAATCTGCGTATCTATAGTAGAGTAGTACATTAGTTTTATATTGTATTCAGCCCTTTTTGACGTCCCACTGCTGAGCACGGGCCTCCCTTCAATACGAGGGTATCAAGCCATAGTCCACCACGCTGGCCAAGTGCGGGTTGGCGGACTATGTCTTCCGAAAACTTGCTAGGTTCTCTCAGACATGCAGGTTTCCTCACGATCTTTTCCTTCACCGTAAGGCAAGTCGTAATCATGTTAGTTTTATAACGTTGACTTTATAAAATTGAATTGAACATTAAGTTTTATTCTATAGCTCTATTTAATGGTGCTTAGGTATACCTAAATTGCACAAACTTCGATCACATAAATCGAATTTATAAGTAGTGGAAGGCATATAAGATATATTTTGCTGAATATCTGACATGAAACAGTAAATAGAACTCGCACTACCAGAAAAATATAACATTTTACATAAGTAAAATAAATATGTAAACTTCAAAATAGATATTATTTAAAACATTGCGAATCGCATTTCACACTTGGCCGATTTATTCATTTGATATAGATTTTTACACGAATGACGTGATTATAGAATCAGTATTTAGCACGAATGAGTCAATTCTCCTTCGAAAACCTCTCAGTGGTAACATAAAACGTTATGAATGCTTAGATGCAATCTTCTAACGTAACCTGTAATCAGTCATCGCGACCAGTCACATTTGTTACAGTTATGTAGTTCTCTCGCAAATAACTGTCACCGTAAATGGGCGAAATAAAAACCTATGTGAATAAATATAATTTAACATTTAGATTTCTTATACTTATACCTTATCTTAAAATGAATCTTAAAGTTATTTATAAATAAACTAGCGACTCACCCTCGCTTCGCTCGGGTTCGTCCCTACTTCCCTAGGTTTATTCCTCATACAAACTTTCATCCCCATTTTCATCCCCTTACGGGATGATTTCCGGGATAAAAACTATCCTATGTCCTTCCTAGGGTCTCAAACTATCTTCTTGCTAAATTTTATTTAAATCGGTTCAGTAGATCCAGAGATTACCCCCTGCAACGTCACAAATTCACAATTCACAGACTTTACCTCCTTATTATATTAGTATAGATAAAGGGACAATATCCATTTATTAGATTTTTAAATATAAATATCAAATATTATTAATAAATAAAGCGAGTTATTTTATCGTGATAAAATATTAATAATAATTATTCATATTATATTTTCCAGTTGTTATTAACAGGGCTCGGAAACACGATTAATTTTAAAACCTGTTTTGGTCATAGACCCCAAACCGAAAGGATTTACGGGTTAAGGTTTCAGTTACGTTTTTAACCGGTTAGTACCCGGAAAACGGTTTTTGACGAATTTAGGTTCCGTGATCGAAATTGACCGGCTTAAATTATTTTCTATGCGTTTACATTTGGCGTATCATTGCTGTTAATGAATTGCTTAGTAGAAGGATACATGTACGTTTCTTTCTTCTGAATGAATTAACCGGTTTATTTTGGTATTAAAACCTAAATCTAACCGTTCTCTTAGAATAACCATTAAACATTATTATTTCAGTTTACTAAACCGCTCGTTTTTATTAACCGTTTAATGAACGAGCGATGAATTAACCACAGCAAAATTACCGAAAATAACCGTTTTTTTAAATTGGTTCTGAGCCATAACTATTAAATTTGAAGTAACCGACAGTGACATAACTTGACTTTTTTTATAAGTTATGGTTTATTTTTTATTATTACCTTCGTAATATTTATTACTTGTATATTTACTGACCTATAAGTATCTTCTCAATTTAATAAACTGCAGAATTTTCTCCACGTTTAGAATCTAGAAAATGATTGCAGTCATCACAATTTCATGCAGTTGAACATGTCCTATTTCTACTGTAGGTAATTGTTGCACTGTTGCCTAATACCATGCTTAGATTTGGCCTACATATAAACGAAATATGTATTTCATTTGAATCTTTTAACGTATTTTATTTTCTACATTTAAAATTACATTATAAAATTTGTTATACTTCTGCTTGAAGCTTAATCTATCTAACTCTATACACATATAAACTGCGTTGTACTGACTGACTGACTGATCGATCAACGCACAGCCTAAACCGCTGGTCGTAGAAACGTGGAATTTGGAAGACATTCCTTATACAATGTAGGCATCCGCTAAGAAAGGATTTTTCGAAATTTATCCCCTAAGGCGGTAAAATAGGGAATAAAAGATGGTATGAAACTCTGTTATTCTTAACGCGAAATACACGGAAAATGATATTTAGCTTAAGATGAAAAATAAGAAATACTCGTACATGAATTAGATTTTTTTCGAAATAACCCCTATTTTAAAGGGGGCGATAAAGTTTATATGGGCAAAAAAATATTTATGATCAGAATTACTTGATACTTAGTATTAATGCTCTTCAATACAATTAAATAAATATGTGTTTTAGCATTTTTCAAAATTCATTCCATAAGGGGGTAAAATGGGGGATGAAAGTTTGTATGAAATTGTGTACTTAATTGATGCATTGAAAGTGGTATTTATCTTTAAAATTAAAAATAAAACAATACGAATATCATTTTTTTTAGAAATTCGTCCCATAGAAAGGTAAAAAGGGGCTGTGCTGTATATATGAGGAAAAAAATTGTTTATGATCAAAATTATTTTAAACTTGGTATTAATGCTCTTTAATACAATTGAATAAACATGTATTTTAGATCTTTTTTTTTTCAATTCAACCCCTACACTTAGGGGCTGAATTGAAAAAAAATATCTAGCAGACCGACCAGTTTAACCCACTGGTTAAACTGGTCGGTGAAGTTGGAATTGTTGAATATATTTGATCAGAGTAACATGGCCCAAGTTCTCCGTAAGTACTCACTCTGTGGGATATAAAGTAGAAACGGAAAGTATTCCGAATCCAAGGAAAATTATGTATAACTTCTCGGCTGGCAACAGCAGTGATAACTATAATAGACCTAGAGCGCGCGAGAGAGAACCTAGCTAGAGAGTATCCTGCTATCTATATCCTCCTTCTGAAGGTTGGCACAACTGTAATGAAAAAGTCATCTAAGTTATGTGACGGGATTAGATTGTGAGTAATTCATAAAACATCATAGTGGTCGCTGAGTTTGCTGATTGTGCTCGGAAGGATTCAGAATTAATACCTCGAATACCACTGATAACTTCTGACTGCGCCTTTGAATTTAATCTATTGTAATTCCTCCTTAAATTTTGCTTTGCAATGACCATTAATATATCTCAATGTGCTAATTTGTGCGTCTTTCAAATAAAGTTCTTCTAACCTATAACTAACAAAATAAGAATTTTTAAAAGGCGATCACAAAAATATAATAAATAGGTACCTTATATGTTTAAAATTATATAATTTGGGATAAGAAATAGCTAAGTGAAACTCCAAATGCCTAACTAGCCAAAACTAAATAGCTGTAATTTTTTTTTAATTAAAAAAACCCTGTATTATGACTGTATAATGTTCCTTCGTCAACTTTTCCCCATATTTTTAGTTCGCTTTCAACGCAGTAACGTTTTTTTTAAGTACTAGTAGGTTTTATAGTTAAGTAAATATATATTTTTTAATTAACTCAGAGATTTATTTAACTAGAACATATCAAACATATGAATTCATTTAACATTGCGTTGTCTCATATAATAGGTATGCAGTATGCTTATTTGTCCAAACTACTAATTTAATCAAATATTTTTTTATACAGAATTATTGACTTCTAAATGTCATTTCCATTGGTATTAAATATACATTTTATTTAATAAAGCCGATAATATGTATTTTATCTACACACACACACAAACACACATACACACACACACACACACATATATATATATATATATATATATACATACATACATACATATATCCATACTTTTTTAATATTATAAATGTGAAAGTGTGTTTGTTTGCTTAGTTTGTCCTTCTTTCACGTCAAAACGGAGGGACGGACTGGCATGGATTTTTGTGTGGAGATAGTTAGAGAGCTGGAGAGTGACATAAGCTACTTTTTAGCGCGGAAGGTTATCTTATTCCCACGGGAAAACACGTTTTTATACAACCTAAAAAAATCATTCATGATCAGAATTACTTGAAACTTGGTATGAATGCTCTTTAATACAATTCCATAAAGGGGTAAAATAGAGGATGAAAGTTTGTATGTAACCTACCTATCTAGTGTGTTTGTAGTTTTAGCGCGAGCGAAGCCGCGGGTTCCGCTAGTAAGTATATAAA